TACCAGCGGCAAAAAAGCCCGCACGATTGACCTCGCAAAATCTGCACTTGTGGCATATTTCAACAGCAAGAACCTGTCACCAAACCCAGCACAGAACATCAGTGCCCGCCGGTACATAGTTGGCCTACAAAAGGTCAACAAGAAAAACAACGTTGACGTTAAATGCTCTATTGGATACAATTTGACCAATAACATCGTTGTCGGATGAAAAGGTCGGATTTCCAAAGTTATCCATAACGGAAATCACCAGTCTTTGCCCTCAATTTTTGGGGCGTTAGATTTTTACCTATTTCATGATTGAAAAAACATTGGGAGTAACATAAAGTATGGAATAAATGCTGGCTGATCACTCTATTCGATGGTATTAAGTAAATGAGGAAAATCACAGTGGATCATGTGGAAATGAAGTTCTTCAACTTTGAGCCAAAAACCCAAAAATCTTCCTTCGACCTTCGACAAGAGTAGTAGTTCTATTGGTAGAACATCCGCTTGGAGTCCGTTGGCCTTGAGTAGGAGGTCTTGACGAGTAATTGGGTACCCTACTTTTTGCATGGCTACAATCCATTGCACCATGTTTTGTTCGCACTCTAAGGGCAGAGTTGGTGGTGGACCCATACGGCTGCTTTTGATCGTAATGCCACGGCGGTGAAGGTTGAGGTAGTGCTTGAGCGTATGATATGGTATCGACATCGATGCACTGACTTCAGTTTGCTTCTCACCATCGATCACTCTTTGTAATGCTGCCGCGATCTCTTCAGACGTGTGCCTCGGCATGACGAAATGAAGCAAAGGAGTGTATTGAGTTTTGAAAGTTCCCCCCAATTCTCTTTTTGACCAATAGTTTCGTTGAAAACCCCACGAAGACTATTGATTGGTGATAATATTTTATTGTGAAGTGTGAAAATGAAAGGGCAAACTACTGGTAAAAAGACTGGTGATTTACGTTACATAAAACTTGAGGCATCAGACCCCCCCTAATCTATTTATTAGTGTGCATTTCATCTTTTTTTGGCAATACCAGGACTAATCCCTTGTTTAACAATATTTTAATCTCGGATTTATCTAAAACCACGTGGAAAAATACAGGTGGTTAATAAAAGAAGGATCGTTTACAGTTAAACGGAGTCATCAACATTATAGGTTGGGCCAGGTACACCACGCGATGAGCTCCGATACCCTGGTATCCAATCGTACTGGGGAAGCCTCAGACAGGT